TTCCCACTCCTCTGGCAGGGCTTTTTCTTCTTGGTTATGGTTTTATGTAAAATTGAGGAGGCTCTCCGAGCCAGTTCATGCTGACCCTTTATACAAAACGCTCCTACTTTTTCTGCCATACCTTTTGAACTGGGCCCGAACCAGTATGTGCAATTCCCCAGAAGGATGGTACTTTTCTGGAGCTGTTTATCTATCCCAGGATCGACAGGACTTGTACTGTCATCACTAGTAGTTCTACCCATGCCTGCTTCCTCCAGGCTAGGACTTAGGGAAATCCTGAGTGATGATATTGAGTAGCAATTTGTTTAGGCAGTTAGCTAAAGAGTCACAGGGTTTGTCTCTGCACTTTGACCTAAATTAAGTTCTCTCTTTATAAGAACTCAGCTCCTGTCTCTTCTCCGTCAAAAAGAGGACGCAACAGATTTCCTGTGAGCTCTCTGCAAGTTAAAGCTGGGAACTAAATTCTATCCCATGAGGAGGAAGGATTTACTCAAAATCTCACCAAGAAGTCTGTTTTTCTGTGTCTTTCAGACAAGTTTGGCAGGCTAAAGGTGTTTGGATAAGGATCTGAACTGTTTAGTCTTTCATCTAGAGTACAGATCTGTGAATCAGGAAATGGAAAGAGAGTTGGAAACTGGATGATTCAGGAAGTGGTAATAAGATATGGTGCTTTTCACTGGGAAAACTGGGTTTTTGACTAAATGTCTTGCCTCTGTTTCTCTTCTATAGGCTAGGATCCTATATCCAGACTGAAACTCCCATGATTCATCATAGCCAATGATTTCTATGATGCACCACAGTGGCTCAACAAGACAGAGGATTGTGTTGCATCATGGGAAATATCTGGCTTGGGGCCTTACCCACAGAGAAGAATGGGGGCCTAAGACACACAAACTACAAATCCCATGTGGCACCAAAGCAGCACTGTTGTATCTAAAATGTTTGGTTCTCAACCAAAAGTTTTTGGCTGAAAATTCATAGATTTTTGTCCAAAATATTTTTATTTCTCACCAAAACAATCAAATTTTTCCACAGGGAAAAATAAAGTGTGTTATGACTACCTCTCCCCTACTGGGTCATATATAAACTGGGTCAGCTGTGACTGAAAGTCTTTATCATCTGACAGTTGCTCAGAGGGCTGTGTGAAATGATTCAGAAGTTCTCAGTCCAAATCCTTATAGATAAATGTCTACATCACAAAAATAATGATCATGGTATTGTTTGGGGTTCTCACTGAGGAGACAAAGATTTTTGACAATCAAATACTCCCACACACCAGGATTAGGATTGTTAGGACAAGATGGGGAATCATGTACTGCTTTGCTCCACTCACTATATGCAATAGTTAGCATTCTTGTCTGACCAAAGGGATATTGGTACAATAATTTAGGATGGCTTTTGAGAAATTTCTGCTTCTTCCAGATATGATAAAAAGCATTTCCGGTGCTAGGTCTATCAAGCTGGCATCATTCAGGGGCTCAACATTTACTGTTGCTCAAGAAATTAAAATTAAGGGGGAAAAGACTTGTTTGTCCTTCAAATTATAATGCAAGATTGCAGGGTAAATGACAAAATCAGCGAGAGTCAGCTATAGCAGTCTCTGGGTAGGTCTCTGCCATGTACACACTTTCACATCTGCTCCAATTTGTGAAAAGTGACTGTGGGTGGGATTTACTCCTACTCATGCAGGAAAAAAAGCTTATTTGATTGAATTTCAATTGTGTGTCAGTCAACTAAATTTTTCTTTTCTAACAAATAAGATACAGAAATCACTTTTGTCATGGAAGGCACAGCACAGTGGAATGAAAAAACAGCGTCGGTGACCCACAATATGCATTCAGCCATCTCCTTGCATGCAAACAGCCATAAACATGCACTTGTAAGACAGCTCATGGGGAAATACACTTTCTATTTCCTATCTAGAAGTGAGATTATTCTTTCTTGTTTATATACTCTAGGGCTACGTGTAGACTGGCATGATTTTCCGCACATGCTTTTAACGGAAAAGTTTTTCTGTTAAAAGCATTTGCAGAAAAGAGCGTCTAGATTGGCACGGACGCTTTTGAGCAAAAGCACTTTCTGCGGAAAAGTGTCCGTGCCAATCTAGATGCGGTTTTGTGCAAGAAAGCCCCGATCATCATTTTCGCCATTAGGGCTTTTTTGCTGTCTACACTGGCCCTCTTGTGCAAATATATTTGCGCAAGAGGGCTTTTTCCTGAACGGGAGCATCATAGTATTTGCGGAAGAACACTGACAATCTTACATCAGATCGTCAGTGTTCTTGCGCAAATTCAAGCGGCCAGTATAGACAGCTGGCAAGGTTTTCTGCAAAAGCAGGTGCTTTTGCGGAAAAACTTGCCAGTCTAGACGTAGCTAGGTGTGTGACATCACAGAATGCATATTTGATGAGCTGTGGTAAACAAACATTGCCTATCATAACTAAACTACATTGGTGACAGAATAGATTTGGCTGAAGCTACTTACCTGGCTCAAGTAGCTCTTTAAAAAACCCCTCAGTGAGTGTGAAGAGCAGTTCTGAGCACAGGACTGGGAACCAGGGCTGTGAGTGCCAGATTGGCCTCTGGCATTTACTCCTTTTGTGATAAAGAAGAAGTCACTTAATTTTTTGGTTCCTCACTTTATCCATCTATAAAATGGGGATAATGATATTCTCCTACTTCACAAAATCACTATGGTCACTAAACAATGAATATACTAAACAGTGAAATTGCAAGGCAGTATATGCCATATGCAATGAGGATTTATCATAGTATATTTTAGTAAGTTCAGCTCTTTGTTCCATTCACTACACACAATAGTTCACATTCTTGTCAGACCAAAGTTGTATTGGTACAGTAATCAGGATGACCTTTGAAAAATTTCCATTAGCACAGCTGGGAGTATGCAAATGAGCTGATACAGACATGATTTCACTATTTTTATACTAAGCAACTGCTCTATAGGAATTTCCCCAGCACTGCATTCACTTTTCGGAGTTGACTCTGATCAGGATGTAACCAAATTAGTTTAGTGGAGGATTGGACCAGAATCAAGCACTGAAAATGAAAACATCAAATAGGTATGTGACTGAATTGGATTCATTAATTTAGATCGTTCAGCTGTGCACCTGGGCAGCAGAGGAAGGAATCTCAACTCACTGGAAGAAAAAGTAGCTATGGGACTACTCTGCTGAGTATATTCAGGCTCAGTGGGTAAAATAACTTGCTCTGCCCCCAACAGGGGGGAAGCAGGCAAGATTCACATAAGCATTCTGTTTTTCAGCACCAACCTTGTTGTCCTCCAAGCTCTGTGAATGAAGAGTGCACAGGCTCATCTCCTTCCCATGCCCCTTTATGTAGTACTTAATTCCTCTGCCAAGAGCACCTCCACGACTGAAGAGATGTAGGATTTGACCCTTCAATATTGATTTGAGTTCCCATAGCAACCAGTTATTTGGCTTGGTGCTTTGAAAAAAAAAATCAATAAATAATTTATAAATTGGGCAGAAAGTCCAACTAGCTCCTGTGTGACCCAGAATCCAACCTCCAATTAATCCCAAAGTATGTGTTGATAGAAAAAAGGTTTATGGCTACAGGAGAATTGAACACAAAAAAATCTGGCAAAGGAGGGAAAAATATAGAAATGTTGCCAGCTTTCTAGCAATGAGGTACTAAAAACATGAATTATACACTGTGCTTCTCTTTCCCATAGAATTCAGTAATTTCTGTGGTTGCACTCTCTTTAAGGAACGTATTGAACATGAGAAAGGAAATGGTCATAGCAAAATTGCAGTAGTTCTCATCTTTTTCCATCATGTCCGAATATTGTATACCATAAAACCCTGTCTTTCTCCATTTCTTTTCTCCATCTCTCAGTGCTGGTACTTTACCTGTTACTTTCCGTTGCCTTGAAGAAAACTTGGGCATTGATAAGCGTGTAACAAGATTTGTCCTGCCTGTTGGAGCAACAATTAACATGGATGGGACTGCCCTTTATGAAGCAGTTGCTGCCATCTTCATAGCACAGATGAATGGAATTGTGCTGGATGGTGGGCAGATAGTCACTGTGAGGTGGGTTCTATACTGATTTTGAAGGTTATACAGCATGAAGATTCAGTGATGGCTTAAACTTCTGAATGTCTGTGGATTCTGACACAGGGAAATATGTGGACTTTAGCTTCCCACAGTGGTATTGAATGGACAAGTTTGTTAAATAACTATGGCCCTGATTCAGAGATGCTAAGACCAGAATGGACCAGTGTGGTCATCTAATGTGACCTCCTGTATAACAGAGGCCAATAGGATTTCCCAGAGAGATTCTCCATTGCCTTGCATGCTTGGTTGCTGCTATTTGTGCATTCTGGTTTAGTAGCATTTTAGACTCACTTTGCACAGGAGTAAATGATACCACTAGGTGCAAGAAAAATGATCTTGTCTGTCCAAGATAATAATAAACTAAGGTAAATGCTGAGGGATGCTCCAATCTATGTATAGGACATTAGCAATTTAGTAAGCCCATGAGTAGTGAAAGAAAAGCTTTCCCATAAAAAGTATCCATATGGTTCATCACTTGTGGTTTGTTCCTCTTACTTTACCAATTAATAATAAAAAGAACAGCCTAGGCACTGGGCATTTTCAGGCTGTGAATAGGGAATGGTAACAAAGAATGTAATGCTTCTGACATAGTTCAGTGAGCAGAGGGATTTCTTGGGAGCTGCTATCTGGCAGATGATGTTGAAATACCCCCATACACTTTTAAGCTTGCCTTAGGGCCAGTTTGGCTCTAGGCAGTCCCTTTGATTAGTGGGAAGAGGAACATATATACCTCCAGACTCTACCATTACAATGAGTGTTACTGGGGCAAAATAGTGACATAGGCCTTGAGCAGGGCCGGCCCACAACATTTTGGCACCTGAGGTGTGGAGCTCAAATGATGCCCCCATGCCCCTCGTTTGGGCCAAAACTTTGAAAGGTCTCAATTATGCCTTCTTCCTGTTCTACTCCTCTCATGGCACTCCACCATCTCTGTGCATCTAGAGTAGAGAGAATACATATGCACCAGTAGCAGACACAATTTTCTACACTCTGAGTACCCCCCGCCCACAGTCTGGCACCTGAGATGGCCACCTCAGTTGGCCTCATGGCAGGGCCAACTCTGCCCTTGAGTTCCCAGAGGAAAGGCTGGGTGTGACAGGGTACTCTACTCTGCATTTAATAGCTCCTCCTCCAGGCTTTTCTGAGGATTAGCTCTGCCTAGCCAACACCCCTTTCCAGCAGTTGTATTCCCTCATTCTTTCTACAGCCCTTCTGTTCCACAAGCTGCTGCTGCTGCCTCTTTGTGACTCTGGACAGGACACCACGTGGTTTCTTCTGTGATATGATACATGGAAAGTGTCTTTTATGACTCAGTCTTCTAAGTCATTATCCCTGGAAATACCATTCTGTCAGGTTTAGTAGGTAGAAAAGCCCACCCTCTACTCTGGATTCCAGTCCAGAGCCTTTTACCAAGCATTCAAGATCTGCAGCTTCCCTAATTCACCCTTGGACTACTTCCGCTGCTGCTGATTCTAGCCCCTTCCTCCCCCTCAAGAATGACTGCTACTTTTCATTCTGCAGCTTCCCTTTTGTTGCCTGTCTCTTTGCTTTAAGTAAGCCCCACCTGTTTTCTCAAGGGTGAGCTAGATTCCAATTAATGGCTTCCTTCTAGCCCAAATAGCTCTCCTGTAATTGACACTTAATTGGTTGATTGGGTCTGCCTGGCCTAAATCAGTCCTCTCTTGGCTAATGTGGGGAGTATACCTCATCACACAGGGGCATCAACCATTTCAAGCAAGATTATGCCAATGATCACTAAAGGACACATAGTCAGGCCCATGATGTGGGGAGAGAAGACAGGGAGAAGAAGGCAATTGATATGGGGCCTGGAAATTCAAAGGGGCCCAGGGCTTCTGGCCACCTCTGCTGCTAGTGTAGCAGCCAGAGCCCCGGTCTCTTTAAACTGCTGCTTGCAAGCCACACAAAGTGCTGAGGTGGCTCTTAGGGCTGCCTTGGAAGGAGAGGGTGCTGTGCACTCCTGCTTACTCTCAGGGCTTGAGGAGAGGGCACTTGCCATGGTCTGTGTGGCACTGCGGGTGGCTTCCCACCAGGACTCTACCCTTTCTGCATGAGGCCCTACCCCACATGAAGCTGCCCCCCTCCCATCTTTCCTGGGGCCCTGCAGAGGCTTTTTTCTCCCCTACATGTAGTGTGCTCCAGGAGAGCCCACACAGGGGAATTAAAAGGAAAACACTTGTGCACTTTACAGATCAACTCCCCATAGTCCAAACTCTAGCACAATCCAACAAAACCTCATGTCTAGGTCTGGAACCACTTGGCCATGTTTAAGAGGCACTGGAGAGGCACAGATCGGGCAGGGGCTGGAACATGTTTTGGGGAGTGTACTGAAGATGGCTTCCCTGCCGGCTGGAGAATAGGTAGCCCAACTAGGCTAACCAAAGAAAAGGAAGCTTCAGATAGTCAAAGGGTGAATGTAAGTAATTCCCAGTATGGTTTATCTTTATTTATTTCTATTTTAATATCTTTTGCTGAATGTTGACTACTCCATGTGGTGAGAATTGCATCAAGCCTGCCACATGCAATGAGTTTGATACTCCTGACCTGGGCTCGCTGAGCGGAGGTGAGCCCCGCTCACCAGCCACGCGGTTCTGCACTCTGTGCATGCACAGATCACTCTGCGCCGGCTCTTGCAGGGTGTAATCAACTTGCCACGGGCTAGCCCTACAGCAAAATAGACTGGATGCTCTAGATCTCAAATTCAATCTCAGTGTGCTCACATTAACCTAGAGAACAGTAGATACTTTCCTATTATATCAAATCATTACATATAGAACTCAGCTGAAATATCAGCCAGAAGTTCAATGGAAAACATACATTTCATGTAGGTAGGACTAATTTTGGCATGTTTTACGATAATTCAATTTAAAGTCATATTTGATCCTATGACTTAAAAAAAAAAGAGAGAGAATGGCAAAGTTATGACTTGCTGTTGAATTCATTTACAATGGAAAACATGACAAAATTGCAGCAAGCCTGACATTTTGAATCATAACATTTCAAACCACACATGAATGCTGCCAAGTTTGCCTTTTCCTTGTGTCTCTAATCCACCCACCTTCTTCTTAGTTAACCCCTCTTCAGGATAAAGAAGTGCCTGCATGTGTGTTTCTTGCCCAATTATATTTGCAGCATAGTTTCCAGTTCTTTTTCCTCCTGCAGGTTACTTACAATGGCAAAATAAGATTTTAAAGGGGGTAGGCTGTTCCTTTCAAAGACAGATGCTGCAAAGTTGGGCCTTAAATACTACTTTTTAGAAATAAGAACATTGTTGGCCTCAAGTCTTGGTGAACGTGAACCAGAGTTATTCTTCCTGCTGCCATTCTAAGTAATTGTGTCACTGTGCCCGATTCCATCCCCACACCGCTTGTACACTGGTGCAGTTGACCCACCTGGACTCTCCGTAATCCTCCGTGATGTATACTTGTGTGAGATCTGAATGAGGCTGACAGAGAGAAGTATTCCTATAAA